CTACTTTGCGTTTCGGGGTGTGTCGTTTCCGTTGTAAATGTAATCGTAATTTCTTTATGTTGACCGTTGCTTTTCATTGTGTTTTGCTCATCATTTCATAATTCTATGACATGACTATAAAGTCTGAACAAGAAAGAAGAGGCAGAAGATATACATCTTCTATAATTTTCTTCAAAAAGAGGCAGCTACAACCAAAGTTATCGTTGTTGTTGAGGACAGTTGAGGCGGAAGTTTATTATATCATAACTAAGGAAGTCCAAGTTGTCTTTGTCGTTTAACCCAAATCTAAATGTATCTATACAAATGTACTAAACAACACGTTTATTTTGTTGGTCTACCTCGTGTGCTATTTCCTTTAAAGTTAAGCCGAGGACTAGCATCCCGTTGGTAGGCGCCTGTAAGCACTCCGGTACGAATTCGGTAGAAGCGTACGGGTTCTAAAACGGGTGGGGCGAAGTGCTTCAAGACGGCCTCGGACTCTTTGAGGTGGCCGCAGTATCGCTACCGAATCTACGGGGNCCTGGTTCCTCCGGTTTGTATCCCGGTAAATAGTTCTGGTCGTAAAGAACCGGGTGATTTGCTACCGTAATATCTCGTTTGGAATATGAGGATATGAACTGCGGTCTGGCTCTCCCAGCTTGCACGCGGTTTGATTGGCTGCGCTTGCACTGGCGGGATTTGCATAAACGGGATTTGATTGGCTGCTGCCAAGCATCGAGCCTCAAAAGTTGAACATTGTTCAACTTTTGATGCCGATAGATGCTCGTGATGCTTGCAAAGCCATGCCATGCTCCCCACAATGCAGTTCGGCGAAGATTAAAAATCTTCTACGTCACCCCATTCAAATGAATGGGCGAAGCGTTGAAAGCATTTTTCGATGCCTGTAGTGTAGACGGGCCGTTAGAGTTTTACTCCCTACAGGGTGTACTTTGAGGGTTTGTCACTCTGCAGACCGTTTACACGCAGAAAAACCTTCATAACACACAAGGGGACGGGTGATAACCGGAAAAGCATGACATGGGACCTTTAAATATTAAAGCTACATTATTCAATTTTTGCCAATTGGCAGCTCCACAACATACTGTACTGTAGGTGCCTGAGGCTTCACTCCACTTGGAACTAGATTTCAAGTTTATAATGAACTGGAGTGGAGTTTTAAAATGTAAATCCAAAATGAAAAAGACTGACCACTCACAATAGTAAAAGAATGGAGACGATAAACTAAAATAGGACGCACATTATGGCAAATTTCCACCAAGGATGAAGCTTTAAAAAGGCCTTATTATGCTCTTTGATGTGTTCCCTTTCCTCTGTGTGTTATATAGGTTTCTGTGCATGTCGGCAAAGGCTACCATCCCTGCGTGTCCTCCAGAGGGAGTTTCTCTCTCACACACTCCAACCTACATAACATACAGGGTGTTTCTCAGGCAGGAGTATAAAAAAAACAGGCTGTAAAAGTCAGGATATCTCTGCCTCAGATTTTTTTTGTTAATCTCTCGAGTCTGCTACATTTATGGAAGTGCATTACTGAAAAGTGCCTCTTCAATCCTTTAATACTGCAAATCTTACACAGGAACAGGTCTAGATGAGCTGAACAGCGGCTTGAATTTAATACAATAATCAGTCTGATATGCATCTTACCAAATGGAATAACAAGGAGAGTGTTTTAACCCTCTCACTGCTGCCGTTGAGTTTCTCTTGCAATACGTGGAAATAATGAATGTAGATGGTATAATTATGTGACTCTACAGCAGGCCTTCTCAAACTCCGGACCAAACTGCAAATCAGTTTGGTCCGGATGTAAATTAATGTATATTTTCTTGTGTCTGACGCGTTGTGAGAATGAACTTGCATATTTACTTGTCTGCGCGAGCGTGGCAAGCATTGCAAGTTAACCGCAAGTTTACCTCGACTTTCTAATGCTTCTAATAGGCTACCTTCTGTGCCGGGGTTCAAGGCATTGTCTACAGACAAACAGTGCCATTTCTCCCACTAGTTCAAGCCACCATACTGTATGTATTGAATGTGTGTGTGTGTATACAGGGGAACAGTTTGCCAACAGGCAAGGCAGGCAAGTGCTCGGACCAGAAGGGGGCCCCCAAAGAAGGTAGATTAAGAAGGTCCACAGCAACGACAACATGAAACACCCTTTAATTGACTGTAACGACATGTCGGGAAACCCCCTCAAGGGGGCCCCATGCATAGCGCGCTGAAAGTGCTTCTTAATTTCAGTTTCATTTCTCTACTCCCGGGTGGGGGGGTGGGGGGGGGGACACTTTACTGGCATTGATCGGGACCAGTGAACTTGCTCCTGCTCTACAGGATGTCCACAGTCTTCAATTTGTAATGATTTACCAAATGTTTTTTCAATATAAAATGCAGCTTTTGAATGTACTGATTGTTGCTGATCGAGGCATCTAATGGTCCACATTTCATGCAAAAGTCTAGACAACACATAAATACAATAAATAAATACAACAACATGTCCAATAGAGACAGAAGTGTTATTAAGGGTAAACCCCTCCTCCGGTGTTGCAGCTCAGTAAACAATCTATTGCCTGTTTCCTCCCTCGATCATGTGCCAGAAACAAACAGCACAGGGTCATGTCTATTACCGAGCAAAGAAAGCACCATTCTCAGACAAAGTTGAGTTGGCCGCCTTGTCTGAGAAGGCTCATCACTCAACGTAAGTGCAGTTTTGAAGTGAACAAAGGGAACTCATGGACATGCGAGCAGCCTATAAAGCAAGCAAAGCACAGAGTAGAAAGGACGGAGAGCGTTTAGAAAGTAAACAGATGTGGTCTTTCTGACCATTATCAAGTGTGCATCTGAAACTTTAATAAGCCACGAGCCAGATGTAATGCTTTGCCATGGAAACATTGGCCTCCTAAGATGAACCCTGCGACTGTTGTTAAGAGCCGGGATGCATGGAGAGCTTACTGTATGCCCGGGAATCTGTCCAGTTTTTAATGAGGGTAAAAGGACACCGCTCTCATCTTTATTTCATGGCACTGTGTGCATCTGTGGAGAAAGAAGATTCTCGGTGATAAACAAGGCCTATCTGGAGGAGGCCTCGCAGCAATGAGCAGGCCTAAATCAGGGGCTGTTGCATGGCAGATAATAAGAGCTGCTGGCCTTGGGGAGGAGGGGGTGTCTGCTGCAGACTGAAGGTGGAATCACGGGGAAGGGATTCTGGATGTCCAGCGAGGTCCCTTCATTAGCCTCTGTGTCCTCTGTTTTCTCTGCATGCCTCTCAGTGTCCTGCTCACCCTGTGCAGAGAGATGGGGAGGGCTCTCTGAATAGCAATAACCCCGGCCAGCGTCAATCCATCTTCTACTTCATTAAGAGGGCTGCAGCGTTATTGCGGGCTGTAATGACGCCTCAGATCTCCCTCCCATAGGCTGCGTTTCTCTCTGGCTTTCACAGATGTCATAAAAGAGAACACACAAGTCGTGCCGGAAATGCATATGAATTATTAATTCTTCTGTCCCTGGAGGTAGTTTGTCAATGTGTGCGTTTGTGTGAAAATGCCCACATTCCTGGCTTTACACTTCAGACAGGTTGATTTAAAATGTATGTTGCCAGCTCCTTTTGGCACTATAGGGAGTTATTGCAAAAAAAAGTCAAATGAAAGGCTGCGTTAATATTAATGTGGTTCAGATATACGGCCACTGCTTCTCATCCACATCTTGGGATGGTAATGCAAAAGAGATGATGCTTTATGCAAACTAATCCAGCAGCTACATATCAGCAGAAACTCGAGGAATGGGAGAACAGCAGAGGGTTCAGAGCCCCTGTGTATACAGACTGCAGCCGGCTCACTCACTCAAAACCTTTTTATGTTTGCTATACGAAAAAGTAAAAAAAAAAAAAACTTGGAATATCCCTATAAGAAAATATGAACAGACTGATGGGGAAGAGTTGATCTTTACATCCAGACATTTAAATTGGCTGAAAGGGTTAATCATGCTTTTTGCGTTTCCGTTTCCTGAAGTGTGTTCTATAGGTTTTTGTGCACGTAAACGCCTTCATTGGACTCCTTTGTTTACTTCCATAACATAGTGACATCACAATGTAACGCTTGTTCTTCTATTGTTTAGCGCTCCAACACACACTTGGGACTGGGCTCTAACCAGAGCCCAGTCCCAAGTGTGTGTTGGAGCGCTAAACAATAGAAGAACAAGCGTTACATTGTGATGTCACTATGTTATGGAAGTAAACAAAGGAGTCCAATNCGTATATTTCCGCACACCGTGTTCTCAAGACATATTTTTTTTTACATTTTCAACATCGTGGATACATCCTTGTATGCTCCCGGCAACACACTGAGCGTCAACTTTGCCTCCTTATTACACTCACCCCTACTTTAGTGGGAACAATGAGTCTGCGTCTTTGGTGCACAGAGGAATAAACGCAGATCATACTCTGGCTGCAGCCTTGACCGGTACTTGCTTTTGATCAAAGTCAATGCGGAAAACCTGCACTCACACAGGTAGGTGGAGGTGAAGGGAATGAGCACTTTTACAGCCTTTTTGGCGAGGTGGGGGAACTCGGTCTCCACAGACAGACAAAAGTGGGCAAGTGTCACTTTATTCGTCTTTTTCTCGTTCTTTTGTGTCTCACGCTGCGCCTCCCCTGAAGCTCTCTGGCGCCCCCCAGGGGAGGCGCGCCTCACACTTTGAAAACCGCTGCACTAGATGAAAGGGCAACCAGCCAAAAGCCCAATATGGCCTCTTTAAAAAGGTGTTGACTCTACTTGACTGTGTGTTGATTTTCAAGCTCAATTTCCCATCCTGATACAAGGAAAACAATCCAGCTCAATGACAGGAAGTGACAGTGGTGCCGACTGCTCTGACTGACACTGAGAAGCAACAGCACTGTTAGTTTATGGCCTATCAATAATGTCACGCTCAACGCCTATTTACTTTGGCCCGAGAAACTGGGGTTCCCTTTTTTTATTGAGTTTCCCCTCAGGAGCCTTGAAACGCTCCGGTCTGACAGATCTATTTGCCGGCGGTGCACACGGCTTCAGTGGCAGATAAGTGATGTGTGCACACCCTCTTTATCACTCTCTTTCACACCCATCCCCTCGTTCTTCTGCTGGCGTTGTTTTTCTAATCTGCGTGGGACATTGGGAGGCTTTTGAACATGTTCAGACGTTGGACTACGTGACCGTGCAGCTCCCTTGCTTGCTCTTATTGTGGATGTAGGTACAGCTGTCTGATTAGTGTCGCTGGTTAAGGATGGGTGAAAAGGTCAGAGTTCGTTGACTTCATTGACTCGAGAGTTCATGGATTTTGTTTCACCTGCTCCTGTCGGATAATTGATGGAATGCCGATGCTTATGAATAATTGTGTGTGTGTGTGTGTGTGTGTGTGTGTGTGTGTGTGTGTGTGTGTGTGTGTGTGTGTGTGTGTGTGTGTGTGTGTGTGTGTGTGTGTGTGTGTGTGTGTGTGTGTGTGTGTGTGTGTCTTTTTAAATAAGCCCTCGATCAGTATGAGGCTCACACACTTCTTAGCCACGTGTTATTACTGTTTAGTGTCTCTAAAGCCTAAAGGTTAGAAACTACACCGACACAGAGCGGATTCTCATACATGGTTAAAGATGCATCGCCCCGTGGCTCATTACTGTTCTGAATAAAGCCAACGAGGCGTATACATAATGTAATCCTGTCAGCTGTATTGAAACTGACACAGTAACATGGATTTTCACGTTGTCAGCTGACGGGTGACCGTCATTAGGCAACAGTTTCGAATCCCAAATCCAAAATCTTGAATGACTGAACTGGGTCATGTCCTTCCAAAATCATCCACATACCATTTGAGTGTTTTCCAAACCGTCCAAAATGTGGATTACAAATAAGAGTTATTTGGATGTTGTCTGGACTTCATGCCACATGTTTGTTTAAGCCAATGCATCAACATGTACCTAAATGCTATTCAAGTAATTCACAAACAGTTACAAATACAAGTAAAATCATAAGATATAATGGAGGTTTGTGAAATGGGACACACCGGTAAACTGTCTGAGGCTGAGAATTGAGGCCTAGACACCAAACAGAAAGTATTTACGGTATATATAACTAGCACTTCAATAATTGAGTTGATGTATTATAAAGAAACAAATACAACAGTAAAAAAAAACAAGCCTAGCCAAATACCAGAAACACCAACTAATCCAAAACTAACTGGTCCCAAAACATTAGTCAAGTAAACATTTTAATTGTTTTGCTTAACAACTGCTGACTTAAGCACTTCTTAAAGACGGACACAAGATATTTTCATATTTTTCTGATGATCAATCTCGTTCTAAACCTGTGTTCCTCTGCAAAACACACTTAAGCCGCTACATTAACAAGTTGTACTCGTTATAATCTGCTTTTACCTAGTGTTATATGTATCCGAGAGGAAATGAGTTGAGGTCACGCAGTCTGTTACATGATGTAAGTTTGTGAAAGACCACGGTTGCAAAACATAAACCGGAAGCTTTGCAGTGCTCTTACCCTGACCCTATCCTTGCACTTCCCTTGCTTGGAAAGGAGGTTGCTTGTCCATTTGTATTCATTAAAAACAACGTGATGTGCAGTTTTTTTCTGGTATCCTTCAAACTAAATCAGAAACAGCATCAGAATACCTTCAGTCAGACTGCAGGGGAGCAAAGTATAGAGGCGAAAATAGCCTGAATACGAGGCATGCATCAGAGTCCTGCACGGGTCTGATTTTCAAGACCCGCTCCCGCCCCGCACCCGCGACGTGCAATACCGAACCCGCCCCGAACCCGCATATATATGAGCAGTGAAAACGTGCAATTATTAACACACGCAGTTGCATATTTGGCTCAAAAAGCGTGGGATGTTAGGATGACACCAAAAGCCTCCCAGACGTTGGATTTCGCTCTTGAGGAAGAGTTATTGAAAATGCTGTATTCTCCGCTAGAGAGCTTCACCTCAGCCATTCAGAATGTGGCGCGCTCAGCAGCAGATTGATGCGCTGCAGAGGTTATTATTATGCTCGGTCCCGCGGGGGAGAGGTCTGAGGATTTAAACATTAAACTAAATTATTATTATTTAAATATATTTATTATGCAACACCCGCAACCCGACCCGCATCACCTTTGTTTTACCCAGAACCGAACCCGGAAAAAAGCGTTTGAAAAAATACCACCCGCGAATCACCTTTTTTGCGGGTCACCCGTCGGGTACCCGCGGATACCCGACCCGATGCAGGACTCTGGCATGCATACATTGAGGCAAAATATATTATTTTCTCGTTGAATTCTTAATTGCTCATGTGAATATTTTCTGTACTGAGCAACTTATCGGCCATGCATCATTTGTCATTGCTTTCATAAACTGTTACGTATCGCTATTATGGAAATGTGTGATTTGCCAACACTTTGGTTCATATTTGGTTTGTTGTAGGCACAAAAAATGACATTGTTCAAAAACCAAACTGTTGACAGCAGTCTCCTGTTTTGTCGACACATCCATCCATCCGAGCTCTAATAATAACGTTGTTCGACATCTGGCATTGTTCCTGACAGACAGGAGTCATAACTCATAAAGTCACAAGAGGCATGTCATCGGTAATTTATTTTGGGCATTGAACAAACAGCAAGTGCTTTAATGTCTCAAAAACAATAATTAGAAAAACAACACCGATATAATTGTTGGATTATATTATCAATTTATGACTCATACAATGATCTCCATATTTCCGCCATCAATTTAAAACCCATCAGTCATGAGCACTGTTTACCCCCATAGACTGGACGTTAATGTGATTGGCTTTGACTTGGCTTTGTCAGGCAAAGGATAGGGCTTTCAGTGACAGCTGCAGTAATGTAGGTTAATATAATAATAAACGAATATGCTTTCAGCAATTGATCACCCGACTGTAGGTACGCATTAAATATTGAAATATAGATAAATGAACCACTGACAGAACATTGAGTCAATAACAAAACCTGAAGGCTGTAAAGGTGCCTTTCGCAATCTGGCTTCAAAAAATGATTACATTACATAAAGATTACAAAAGGATATTATTTGTTTACAGTGATAATACCTGTCAATTTTCGATTTTGGTGATTTATAGTTTGATATTTGACAAATCACTTGTTAGAGGCCCTATTGTGCTCATTTTCAGGTGTATATCAGTATGTAGTGTCTCTACTTTAAAGAGTCCTCTCCTGCTGATGTTCAGGTGTATATCAGTATGTAGTGTCTCTACTTTAAAGAGTCCTCTCCTGCTGATGTTCAGGTGTATATCAGTATGTAGTGTCTCTACTTTAAAGAGTCCTCTCCTGCTGATGTTCAGGTGTATATCAGTATGTAGTGTCTCTACTTTAAAGAGTCCTCTCCTGCTGATGTTCAGGTGTATATCAGGTATGTAAGCAGAGATGAAAATTTCCTCAGGAGAGACGACCTACAGTACCACATAATAGTCATACAATCAAACAGAGATGAAATTTCTCAAGGTAAGAGGACGACGTACAGGTCACATATAAGCATACATATCCACCAGAGATGAAATTTACTCAGTAAATGAAGAGGACAAAGGCGAAGAGACTAAACAAGTCCCAACATATAGTCAATACATGTCATCCCAAACAGAGATGAAAATTTCTCAGGAAAAGGCAGAACTACAAAGTCCACATATAGAGAACATACATCAAAAACAGAAGAATGAAACATTTACTCAGGAAGAGGACTAACTAACAAAGAAATCACATAAGATCAAATACATCACAGAAGATAAGAAATTTCTCAGGAAAGAGACGACATATACAAGATTACATATAGTCCATACAATCACAGAGATGAAAAAATTTCCAGGAGAGGACTGACCTAACAAGTTCCACAATATAAGCTCATAAAAAAAAAAAAACATACAATGGATCAATCAAAAAAAAAACAGAGATGAAAATTCTCAGAGAGGACGACTACAAGTCCAAATAATAGATTAAATACCAAATCACAGAGATGTAAAAAATTTACTCAGGAGAAGGACGACTACAAGTCCACAGTGTATAGTCAGTTACAACACCAGAGAATGAAATTTCCCTCAGGAAGAAAGGACCCGACTTGACCAAAGTCCACATATAGTCAATACATCACAAGAAGAATGAAAATTTCTCAGGAGAGGACGACTACAAGTCCACAATATAGGTCAATACATCACAGAGAGATGAAGAATTTCTCAGGAAAGAGGACGACTGTACAAGTCGCACATATAGTAAATACCATCACCAGAGAATGGAAAATTCTCAGGAGAAGGACGACTACAAAGTCCCACATATAGTCCAATGGTACATCGACAGAGATGAAATGTTAACTCAGGAGAGGAACGACTACAAGTCCACATATAGTCCATGACATCCACAAAGATGAAATGTTCTCAGGAGCAGAGACGAACTGACAAAGTCCGGCATATAGGGGGGTGATTGGGACAGGGGAGAGGGGGGGGGGGGGGCCCCACAGAGATGAAAATTTCTCAGAGAGGACGGACTACAGGTCCACATGGATAAAGTCATAACATCACAGAAGGAATGAAATTTCCTCCAGGAGAAGGAACGACTACCAAAAGTCCACATGATAGTCATACATCACGACCAGAGATGAAAAATTTAATTCAGGGAAGAGGACGACTACAAGTCGCACGATATAGTCATACCAGTCACAGAAGAATGAAATTTCTCAAGGAGAAGGACTACCTACAAGTCCGGACATAGTAGTGCATGAAGCCCATCGGCACAGAGATGAAATTTCTCAGTAAGATAGATAAGATAGAATACAATTGTTATGGGAAAAGTCACGTAAGGGGGAGACGTCCAGTCTGAGAAGAGAGACGTATGAGTCACTCCAATTGTTGCGGGTCATATTTCATGGGCGAGCTATCACTTGAAACCTCTCGTCCAAACAAAAATCATTTTGGACAACCTCAATGTAAGGTCGTCACAAAAATGGGATGGTGGTGGTGGGAGGCGAAGGGAGGTGGCGAAGGGG